GGTAGTGATATACGCTTGCCGTCTCCATACTCCGCCCTGCCGCACGGACAACCTTACGCCTATCCATAGCCAGATGCGCTGCTTATCTGCGCCTTCTAACTTCCGGTTGTCCTCCACCCCTGACTGTGTGTTCGCTGCGAAATTTTAGTATCGACGCAATTACCGCACCTTAAGGATAGCGCGCGTAGTGTATGGAGACCTAAGGAGACGACACTCGAGTACCACTACCGCACAGCTCCGTCCCCGTGCTTTTTTTGAGCGGAGAAAGAGGCGCATCCGTGTAAGTGCGGACCTATTCGTCGCACATGGCGAGAAGGGTCCTCGGAGTTAAGTACTGTTTGTTTCTAAGCTTACTGCGAAGTTGTTTAGCTTCAAGCTAACAATAGCTATTATTCTTTTTTGCACACTCTAGCATCTACGGCAAGACCTTTTTCGGATCAAATAAGTAGGTAAAACTAAACGAAATCAATAAGGAACTTCCAACCTTCATAGCCTTTTCATAATAGCTAGGCTCCATGGTGATATCGCCCAGGAGACAGACAAGCATGGAGTCATTCGGCCGCTCAAGAAGTAATCGTCGAATCAGGGCTTCCGCCTGAAATTTAGATCTCAAGGTATGAAAAACTCCAATCACGTGTGATCTCAACAGTCTGTCACCAAGAGATATAATTTTTGCAGCTAACAAAACAGCTAACGGGAGTAGCTAATGTCGGAACTAGTTCGAACAACGATGTTAAGGTTTTCTCATGATCTTTTTTAATCTAAATGCGTTTTCAGCAGAACTTTTTGTTCATGGAGCACTGACCTTCTCCAGTTGACCCAGCTGCTTGAAACATTCGATCACGTTGTCCCACATTTCCAGTTTCTCGTACAATAATAAAGCTTCCTGAACTCAACACGGCCTTAGCTAACTAACACACTCTTGAAATTTCAAAGGCAAAGTTCACACGTACAGGTGGAGACAGTCAATCACAATGCACTCTTTCTCGATAGACCCCAGTCTTAGAAGAAGGAGCGCATCAAAGAGAGGAACAACGACTTCCTGTCTCCATCCTTCCCTTAGTGATCAACATGAACCCTGTCTTTAGCTTAGTGAACTAGAGGCGAGATTAGAAAATCTAGCAGAGCTTACAGAAGTACATCCAAGAGACTGCAATGTTTCAGCATGAATGGAGTAAGCGCCCCAAAATGGCTCCAATCCAGACGCTAGAACAAGGTCGCAGCGCCTCTCTTTCACACCAATCGGAGTCTGAAACATTTTGAAAAAATTATTAGCAATATAAATATTGCTTTTTTATTAGCAGATTATTAGCATATAAATGGTCTTGAGAGCCAATCAGCAATACGCGTAAGCTATGGTATCTGTCCAATGGACAGCTGACTGGAGCGTAGACTAGTTTGGATCGAGCGCTTCCTTGTATGTCACGGCGATGCGTCTAACGTGCAAATATCTTTAGCGCTATTTAATTTAGATGGGAAGACAGGTTAGTCGAGAGGATCATACAGTGAATCCGTCATGACCAAGGAACTGTGGAGACGTCTTGCGGCAGCGCAAGACATTCCCTCCTTGCATGGTTTACTCAGTGAACTTCCTAATGATGATGTGCTACTGCTCGCTCAGGAAGCTTTCAATGACGTCATCGGAGCAAATTTTACGGGCTGTAACGGTACGTTTGTTAATCCGTCGGATTCATTTAGAAATGACTTTGAAAGCTATGGTGAATCAACGGTGAATATGAGTAGTTGAGCAATAAGAATACAGACTTCTATGTATAAGAATGACTTCGTCCTGCGGCCGATGGCTGGCGTTATGGGGGTACTGTCGGTAATCCCTCGCGTCTATTGGTCATCGCCCAAATATCTCATGACGTTTCGGCCCCCTAATCTCCGATACTCGCGTAGACGAACGGGGACCTCGTCTCAAAGATGCATCGATAATGATGGATTTCGTTAAAGCGTGTTCAGTTCGGTGTTCTCGGGAAAGACTGAGTGATTATTCGAAGTGGGCCGATATCGTAACGTGTTAGCTCTTCCTAATGCGTTGGTACAAGTGCGAGCAAATTGCCTGCTTACCTTGTGAAATGCGTGGGAGGAACATAGGGCTGCTCGCTCATTGATGACAGCCGCTGTAAACGCGACGGCGAAGACGGGCAAGAATCGCATTAATTGTCGCTTTGGCGCGCGCGCGCTATGCGGCCACGGCGTTTCCTCGCTTTGCATATCCCTTCGTGGGCAGAATCGGATTTCATGTAGAACAAGGGCATGTTAGACACGTACTGTTAATTTTGGTTACAAACACTGTCGCATTCTCGACCAATACCCACGCCTGAAATCGTCAGTTTAGCACGCGCGACGTCGACGAGACGCCCACTGGCGCGGCGAATTACGATTCTCTTGCCACATACCCCGCCGCACGGCCTAGATTTCCGCAGAGTTGCCTATTCTAGATTCCAGGAGCGTCTCATATTGATGGCATGAATTAATGATACATAATCACCGGTACTTACCCTTCGACAGTTTCCGAATCTTATGAATACTCAGCTTCTATTTTTCAGCTTCAACTGGCTTCCTCCAGAATCCCATCCTTTCATTGACAAAGTAGCTAGCGCTGTTGAACTTTCGATGTCAAGCAAACCATATACAAAAAGCAAGTGCGTTTCCGATCTATCCAGTATTATTCATTAGTTTTTCGCTCGGATTCGTTTTCACCGGCAGTCCAAAAAAGATGCTGTCTCGAGAAAAACTTACTGATTCTTTCATTATGATCTATTATCTCTCAACACACTTACGTTGACACGACTTGCATTCTCAGTTCCTTTTTCGCGGAAAAGCTGAGCACGGAAAGAGCAGAAATCCTACCCATCCAAATTTTTGAAAGCCTTTATTGCCTATCTGGTATATTCTTCAGTCTATCTGCTACTTTGGTGATGAGCCGGCTTGCTGTAGTCATTTCAAGCACTGCATAACCTTCATTGGATGCGCAGCTTTAAGTGAAGCAGCATACCTGCGTGTGCTAAACGGCGCCCAATGATTTCTGGAAGCGATTCAAAAGCAGCTATGAGCGTGTACTAATACTGACAAAGTTTTAGTCTTCAGTTATCCTTTCTCGGTTTGTCCATCCTCGTCTCACATGTCACCTCTGTTTCAGGTTGCTTCCACAGCTTCTCTTCTCCAAAATAGCAATAGTGGATCACAAAAAGCTAAGGGAGAATTGCCCACGTGCTAATTTACTTGCTTTCAGGTTGCTGTTATTGTCTATTGTTGTTTTTAGTTCTCTTGCAAAAAAAAATAATGTTTAACTCCAGAATCGTCTTGCTATGGCAGAAAATGCTCACGGAGCCATCAACAGAACTGAAAGATATGATGGATGAATTAGTGAGTTAGAAATTCGATCGCAGATGAGCGCCTCAATTGCTACTCTTCTGTGGAATGCATTCACACTTCAGCAGAACCGTTGCAAGACGGGCTTCACTAGACTGTGAAAAGAGAAAGTTGTATTTCGGCTGGAAAGAGCCAATTCTCACCTCATCTACTACGAGTACGAAAAGTGTGCTGATTGTATTCAGTGAGTTTTGTGAAAAGTCCCTTCTTCAAAATGCCTTTCCTCCATTCCTGCGGTTTCCTGCACCTTTGCAGGAATACCAAATACAGGATAAACGATGGTTTGATTGTTTGAACCCCTATGGTGACGTCTGCTAATTTTCTTTTTTCTCATGACTCACTGTAACAGTACTTGCCTCGCTGGCAAGGAGAAGGTCGTTCGGGGCGTGGTAGAGCATTTTTCAACAAGGGTTCTTGTGCATATTGTAGGGGCACATACGAGGACCAGAAACTGAGGTTCATTTTCGCTGCGCGCTTCCACGAATAAAAAAAACGTAAAAAAATAGGTCGATGGTTCGGATCCCACCGAGGACAAAATTTTGCTTTTCTACAATTTTTCATTTTTTGGATCCATGTTTGTCTAAATAATTGGTCCTAACAAAAACATTCACGATAAACTGAACAATCCTACTTTTATGGAGCAAAACTGCTTTTTCGTTCGAATTCGTTAGTATGCACAGACTCAGCTCCTCGGCGCTGCCGGTGCCAGATGGCACTGAAACCGAAAATAAAGTCTAGAATCGTGATCAGGACTGTCGATTACCCCTAGGAGCAAGTTTTGAGCGAAAAATTTTTTTTGACTTTTTCGGGTTGTAGGTTGACCATTTGGTCGGCAGTGTGAGCGGAGTCTCACATCTTCGTAACAGCGATGACGTATCGTTGGCGCTACGGACACCGGACAACCCAATAAGCAAACCCAAGAAGGTCAAACAATTGTTTTAACCAAAATTCGTTTTTAGTGGTAATCAGTGGTCCTGGTCACAAATATAACTCCTATTCTTGGCGTCCACGCAATCTGGCGACAGAATAGCCTGAACGTTCCCTATATTTGAGTACATAACGAATTCAGGGAAAGAAGATGTGGCCCCCAAATTGTCCTATACGCTCCACACCAGAATTACTAAATTCGCAATCAGATCCACTATAGCCTATGAGGATCAACGTCCAGCAACAATCTTGTTCAATGGTGCGTGAAAATCGAAATAGTTGAATAGCACTGACTCATGAGGTATAGCTACTCAGAATGTGCCCATAAATGGCAAATATCCGAGTTATATTCAAGCGCAGACAGAAATGGAAGCGAGAACAGCGAAATCTAAAAAATGCAAAAAGCCACGACGCAAGGGGAGCCGAACCATCAACCCCACCCTCACTGTCCGATTGCGAAACCTCACTCTATCCGCTGAGGCCATCCGATGCTCGACACTGCTAGCGCTCTTATCGTTGAAGAAGCCGTTCACCCTTGAGCACATGACCCAAGTTGGAAGCTCACTTGCGGCGATTTTTCGCTTCGATTCAAATAGCCCCTTTATAAGGACCCCCCACTCAGCAACTGGTCAAAGTTGCAAGTGACCTACGCCGTAAAGAGGCCCAGAACGAAGCAGATTCCAAAGATTTCTTTTCACTCGTTTTTACCGTTCCTGGAAGCGCGCAGCGAAAATGAAGCACACTTTTCAGGTCCTTGCGTGAGCCCCTACAATAAGA